AATTAACAATTAAATGGAAATTAGAGACGAGTGATTGATTGTTTAAGAGAGAGAGAAAAAAAAAAGGGTTTGATCAAACTTCAAGGAATTGCAGGAAAGCTAACCGCAGACGATGACCGTCCCCCACCCACACACGACACTCCCGTCCTCCTATGTTTCAGATCTCTCATAAATTTCGACTCACCAAAATTCTCATTTTTGCTTCGCATAGAAGAATACATACTATGCAACATATACAAACACTTGCCAGCACTCTCTCTCACATAGTAACCCCTCCCCTACACCCCCATCTCCCCTAGATCTCTCTACCTTCTCTTTGGTTGCCGGAGGTTTTTTGTTTGCCGCTCCAGATCTCCGGAGCGCTCGCTTATACGCCGTCGCTTTTCGCTGCCGGTGGTTTTTTGCAGATCCCGACTTCTGATCTCGAGGATTGGATCAATCGCCAGTCATGGCGGCCGCCAACGCTCCGATTACCATGCAGGAGGCCCTTACGGTACCTTTTGATTATTATTTTACCCTAATTTATCTCCTTGTCCATTCAGTTTGGAGTTGGCATATTTCATTTGGCTATATCATTACCTGGTTGGATGTACCGAAACCGCTGGTCATACGGAAAATTCTTCAACTATTCGTTGATTTTGTCATGTATTGAAAATTCTAGATCTGTTAGATCCAGTTTGGAGCATTTTGTGGTTTGAGTTGGTGATTAGGTGAGGTAAGTAATGGCGAGTGTGATGCTTTTGATTGCAGCTGACTAGCGTAGGGATCAATCCGCAGTTCATCACTTTCACAAATGTGACCATGGAATCCGATAAGTACATATGTGTCCGGGAGACAGCACCTCAAAACAGCGTGGTGATTATTGACATGAACATGCCTATGCAGCCATTGAGGAGACCTATCACCGCAGATTCCGCGCTTATGAATCCAAATTCTCGAATTTTAGCGCTTAAAGGTGAATGAGGTTTTAGGATTTGTTAATTGCCCTTGTGCAAGTCATTTGGGCTGTGTTTAATTAGTTGGAACAATTTGGGTTTAGGTTGTTATTATATGATATGTTGATTCGTGTCATCTGTAATGCGTGTTGTGAATTAGAGTTACTCTGCATGTGGAATGTGTTGTACCTGTGATGAATTGAGGATTAGCAATGCAAGTTGAATATTTGTTTCTCTGAGTTTGGAGTTGCTTTGCATGGTGCAATTTTTGAATATTAATTTTCTGCATTAGCAGATTTTCTAAGAAAGTGACCTTGTTATTAGTTCTTAGTAACACTCATAAATGTTGATACTTCTCCATCTTTTCAGTAGTTCATGATTAGGTGAATAACTTCTGTTGTTGCACCAGGAAATTGAGACTAAGGCATTTCCTCATAGTAGTTGAAGACAGCGGTACATTCCTAGTAATAAAGATTCCTGATGTTAGTCTTATGTACAAAATTTTGTCTGTCGTCGATAAGTTTAGGATTACTGTGTGTGTGTCTTCTTTGCCTTCTGTTTTGTAAATCTTATGTTCTTGTTTTCATCAAAATAAAATTACTAAGGACATTTCGTAAATGGATGTAAGGACTAAGTCAGGATTGTAATGTCAAGGACATCAAGGTTGCTGCCACATTTGTATTCTGTTAAAAATTGGGTTGGTTAAGTTTACCCTTGAACTTGTTCAGAAAATTTCTGGCTAGTGCGACTTGATTA